CCATCAGTCACATGACTGGATTGACCCATTCATGAGGGCAGAGCCCTACCACCCCCCTATAAAGTCCCTCCTTGTCCCACCTCTTGCTACCACATAATGGGGATTAAATCTCAATGTGAGGTTTAGAGGAAACAAGCTGTAGTTAAACCATCATGGAAATAAAACAGAGGAAGGGTCCCAGTGAGACCATCTTGGTGCAGAGCTGCAAGCTGAGGGCATCAAGGCCTTGGAAAACTGCCAGTGTAGGAGTGATGAGTGCACAGCCGCCCTGCCACAGGCTACCTGTTGACTGCCTGGTGCTTGCAGGAAGCCCCAAGATGATGCACCTGCTCAGGTGATTTTGTGGGTGTCTTCCCAAGAAACTAGCCTCTGCAGACTGCCCAGTTGGCTTCCTCCTCCTAGGTGGCCAACAGCACGACCCTCACAATTACCTCCCTGTCCAGTTACCGTCAAGGTGAGTTCCGAGCAGAGGTTCCTATAGCTGGCCTCTTTGTTGCTTCCACTCAGGTTTGTCTACATTGACGTACTCTCTGAAGTCTTATACTAAACCCCCACAAACTACACTGAAATATTACAATTCTGTCCTTCTAAATCCTGACATGGTTCTTCTCTCTAACAGGATAACCCATAGTTTCAAGTTTGACATATCTGTATTTATACTGTTTTTCCATAAAACCATATTATTATTTGGAGTACAGTATTGTTTTTCAGAGAGCAAGAATGTGACCTTGTGAAAATTAACCAATGTGTTGAAAGCAAGATGTTTGATCCCAGGAGAATCTGATTTCAGATATTCTGATAGGAAAATCAGTGCGAATAAAGCTGTTTAAATATAATCACATAATAGTGTCCTAAATCTTTTTAGTGCCTTGTAGTGTCTTTAAAGAGAATATCATCTTTCCACTGAGTAAATGATAATGCAAATGGACCTACTTGCATATTTTACTGTGAATTGTGATCATTTAAATAAATCATTGCATCTGTCTTTTTGGTAACAAACACATTTAGTAAAGTGATCAATTGTTTATATATAACTAGATCACAATCTATTAGGATCCATTTCAAGCATTTTTTGGTAGTGTGCTGCTTTTTTTTTTAAGTCATTTTGAAATCAATGAGCACTCTTTCCTTGGGATGGAAAGTCTTGGTGTGAAAGTCCAGGTTGGTGCTGGAGGTGTCTGTCGATACTTCCTCTGCTGGTCCAGCAGCCAGATGGAACAAGGGGGTAGGACCTTCCTGATGCACCTGAGACTCCCCACCGTCTCTAGGTGAGAACACAGTCACACAACTCCCCTGTATTATTGCAGGGCCAGCACTGAGAAGCCAGTGCTGGAGAGCGATGGCTGCTTGCTACCTTGCAGCTTCTGGAGCAAGAAGCAGAGGAGCTGCACCTGTCTGCCCGGGGCTTGTGGTCCAGGAAGAGACTACAGAACCCCCTGGGATCCACGGACCAGGAAGAGCACCTCTTCAGAGGCTACATTACTCCAGGATGGGGAAGGGGGACGGAAGGACTCCCCCTGCCCCTGGGAAATGCTGTCACCAAAACACCTCCACCTGATGTCCAGCCAAGGGCCTGTGGTTTGTAGGTCTGTCAGTGCCAAAAACCATGATGCCTTCTGCAGTCCTGCATTTGCCTCTAAGCAGGATCACATAAGACAAAAAAGTTATGTCAAAAACATATGCCATGGTGAAGCAGAGAAAAATATCCTCCCACAAAGGGACTCAGAAGTGAAGGTAAAACTCAGAAATCCAAGATGGCAACGAGTATAGGAGTTCTCCCATCGAGTAGAATCAATGAAAGACAGAGTGTGTAAGGTTTCCATGTCTCAAGGAGTGGCCTTCCGGGTACAAAACTTTGTGAGACTTTGCCTAAAATTTTCCAAAAGATGAGTTTAAAAAAGGCACACTCACAGAGTGCAGTTGTTAAAATTGGAGATCAAGTTGTGAGGATGGATAGCGATCAGGAAGGAACAGTAAAATAAGCCGGCCAAGTGTGTGTGGAGAGAGGCCCTGAAAAAAAAAAAAAAAGGAGCACATAGGAGAAAAATAATAATAAATGAGAGAAGGAAAAAAAAAGGTCCCAAGAGGAAGAAAAGTGTAAATCTGCAGAGTGAAAGGGCTCGGGAATCTCAGCGACATTAAACTAAGAAGAGATGCTTTCCTAAGTGTGTCCTGGTGACCTCGCCTGATAGCAGACATAAAGAAAAAAACTCTTTTAGCTTGGAACAGGCTTCAGTAACCTGCGGAAGCCAGCGAAATACACTGAACAGTGAGCCTTCATTTAAACACCTTGAAAGGAAAGAACTGCAGCTGAGCATCACATACAGCCCAAACCTGCTCTGCCGGTTCCAAAATGCATCTTCAGTGTGAAGGGATTCACAGTCTACAACGCTTGCTGTTTATTTGAGGAAAGCACTCTAAAGGATGCTAATCATAAGAGAAGTAAATCACAGTCTACATATTATATCCAAGAAGATGAAAGGAAGGGAAAATCGATGGGCATTGAACCCCAGCAGCAAGATCCTTGGGGAAAGGAGATAATTGCATTTCCAGAAAGTAGAAATAAATTTGTAAATTCTCTGTGCAAACGCAGACAGGAGTGGAGACTGGGATGACGAATGTGTCACAGGAAGTGTACTTTTGGCAGAGGTGTGAAAGAGGCCTGAATATAAATTATATACGAGAAAATTTTTATTAAAGAATATAGATAATAGTCCAAGTAAATAGAAAACCATGGTGTTGTTCCTAGATATTAAGAATGGATAGTAATCCTATTGAAGTCCTCTTTTATAGCAAAAAGGTAACAAAAAAGAAAAAAATCATAAAGTTGAAGGAAGACATATATGACCATGTGAAAGTTATATTTGTGGAGCTAACAACATGGAAATTAAAAACCAAACTATTGACTAGGGAAGAAGTAGTTGTAGTACATGTAGCAGACAAAAAATTAATTGTCTCAATATCAACAACTCCAAAAACTGGTAACAAAAAATAGCACCATAGGATATTGACAAATTCATGAACAGCAAATTTTAATTATTTTAAAAAGAAATGAAGCCTGCACGACCAATACAAGAACAGATGAGGAGTAATTAGCAACTTTGAGTACACTGGTGCTGCCCTACATCTGGGACAAGAGAAGGCGGCAAATGTTTTACTACAATATTTTGAAGATGATCTCTCAATATTTTTCTGAAAATAAAGTACACTGACCTCTCCTTGCCCCAGCAATGCCAAGTTGGGACATCCATTTGTAGATCTAAGAGCCTCGGTGAAGTCTGACATGCAGAAGGGTGGTTAGTGCAGCCTTGTTTTTGGAGTAGAAGAGACTGAGCCATCTTCCTGGCGATTCCTTCGAGTACCACCTGGTGATGGACTCCAGTGTTAAATAAATGCTGAGCTCTATAGGGAAATCGTGCAGCTGATAAAAGAGTAGGTAGAACCTACATCCTTTATTGGGAGGCACGTGCCTATTTCTCAGCCAGTGAGCAAAGCGAGCAGCAGAGTGTTAGATAAAGAGCAAGCCCTCTCTCGTGTGACCACGTGTGTCCGGGAGAGCAGAGAGATTGCCAGGGGAAGGATGGACAAAGACCTTAACATACAACGCATGAGACAGGTGGGCAAGCAGCCAACTAGCATCCTCGTTTCCACTCAAGGTTATTTCGGGGTCATCATATATTACTTTCTCACATTTTTTAACAAAGGGAAATGGCAATCAAAGATAAAAAGCCACTAGAATCTACAGATATTGTAGCTTTGAGAAGTTATGCTAATTTCCTTCTCATATCTAAATAAACCTTCTGTATAGGTTGTAATGTTCCTTTCCATAAAGTGCTGTGACTTGGCCTGGGAAAGCAGTGGAAGATGGCCCACGTGCTTGGCCCCCTGCACCCACATGGGAGACCCAGAAGAAGCACCTGGCCCCTGGCTTCAGATCGGTGCAGCTCCAGCCATTGTGGCCATTTGGGGAGTGAACCAGAGGAAAGAAGACCTCTCTCTCTCTCTGTCTCTCCCTCTGTCTGTAACTCTACCTCTCAAATAAGTGAATAAAATCTTAAAAAAAAAGTTCTGTTACTAACTCTGTTCTTTTCCACATCTGCCCAATGTGAGCGCAAGAAAATGCCTTCTGATACTCAGTACTGGCCTAGAGAAAGTGAGCTCTCTCCTTTTTTCCTGCCTTTCTAAAACTTGTGTGATGTCTTCTCAGAAGGATATATTATGACAAATCCCAACACTCGCCCTTCTGCCCTTTAACTGCAAGTTAATCTTATATTGCAGATTTTAATTCCAGTTACAACCTCCTTTATAAAATGAGAATTCTTGCCTGCAGGACCAATAAAGGAAAATACCATGCTGCCTTTATAGGTGTGCTGTGTAAGATTGCTGTTTTCTAACAGTAAATTCATAGAATTTATGTTGGCTATTACAAGGTTGAATCAACTGATACTGTAGCTATTAAGTTTTAATATTAAGATTACATATACTTACGTATGCAGACACACACATGCAAATTGCTAGGTATAGAATCCTAATATCTCCACTTGTCATGTGGCCCAAAGCATGAGGGATACATATTTCAATGTTGTTTTGGTTTCAATTTTTTTATAATATACCATATACATTATATAAATTTAATATTTAGAAAAATGTAGTTTATACTAAAAAAGCAGTCTTTCTAGAAATGCAACAATTTCATATATGGCAATTGCCTATAAATGATAATAAATAGTAGATAATAACAAAACAGTGCCACTCACAATCATTCAAAATGCCACTGCAGACATTCAAAATGTTAACTATTTTTCTATTTAAATAGCATTGGTCTACCAAATTCTTGTTGAAGTGTTTCTAATCCATCTTTAAGTAAAATGTCATTCTTGATTGTATAGGGCTCTTCAGTTCTTACGACAGTAAATAAAATTTATGCACTGACAAATACCTGAAATAATTTGAAGCAACTTGTGGTTTGGATTCCAATGTCAATGTCTCTGTTCCTTCAGGTGGCTTTTACGGTGCTCTTTGATTTGGAAGCACTTCTGAAGATATGGTGTTTGGGATTTACTGGATATATTAGCTCATCTCTCCACAAATTCGAGCTGCTCCTTGTGATTGGAACTACTCTTCATGTGTATCCAGATCTCTATCATTCTCAATTCACGTATTTCCAGGTAACACAAAATAATGTCTATTTATCTTCAAAATTATTTTCTTCCCAGGGTAAATATTAGTCACATTCTGTGACTTTATATAGTGATTATATAAAGTAACTGCCTAGGAAGTACGACTTTAAGAGAGGCCCAGTGACCATTTAAACTTCAGGAATAGTGTAGTTATAAATCATAACAACTGTGTTTAGAGCTCCTGAAAATTCAAGTAATGAGTCCATCTATTTTACATATTAATCCTAAATTAGCAGTACACAGATGTACATATTTATATACCTGTGAGATTATGTATCTGAAGTACATATCAAATCTTAAACTCTGAAAGATGTTGGCACAAACTCTGAAGAAGAGGAAATATGGATTTAATTTCAAGTGTATAGCTCCCTCGCTAAAGCATGCTCAACAATGATTTACGGTGGAAATAATAAGGATTTATGAAGTTTACCATTACAGATTTTAGTTGGGCAAATGGTATTTATAAATGCCTATTATTTTCTGTGTGAGGATTAAATGATACTTATAAATATAATAATTGTATATCTATTTTTTCCAATGTGATATATTGAATGACATTGTTTTCTAGTTATTCAGTAATAGTATTTATTGGTTATATAATTTTTAATTGTTGGATAGTTGCAAGGGATTCATTGCTTTTTTAAAATACTTATCATAGATCCTAATCAAAAGCATCCCAAATATAGTCACTTTTCTGACTCCATTTTGGCCATTTATATAAATTAACATACAGACACCCAAATGTGCATTGTTTTCTTCAGAGATATCTTGAATATTTGGGAAACAACATGGTAGTAGAATTTCAATGAAATCGTTTAGAGAAACAGGACTCAACTCTTTAGAAGAGAGAACATGCATTTCGACTTCACTGGTTTCATGTGTTGGTACCAAAGCTGTCTTCCTCAGAATAGTGTAACTCTGGCTGCTAGATCAGGGCTCAGCTCAGTTCTTCTGCTGCCTAGGGAAAGGACGTGAAAATGTAATTCACCAACCATGAAAGGTAGATACCCCCTCCCCTGCCCAGATGGAAGCCCCGCCTCCAGTTGAGCTTCACAGTCACGCATTGAAGCTGCTGGGGGTTATAGATGGTTCACACTTTCCCTTCCCTGGACAGTTTTGGGCGTAAACTCCTCACTCTTTGTTGGTTTCCATGCTGAGGCATCATTATCTTATGTGAGATGACTGGGGTGGGAGAGACATGCGTTTGGAAGTCTTGCTGCAAACCTGCCTTCCTAGTGTGTGTGTGTCGAGATCTGCTCTTGCATAAGCTGTCTGGCTTCCCGAAATCAGCATGGTCATTTAGTACCCCGCGAAGGGCATCATTCTGCATAATCAAGGAGAACATAGCTGGTGAACAGAGCAGAAAATATCCAGATTACAAACCTGTTCATCCCAATTAAGAAAAATATCACTGCGTATTCCACCAAGCGTACAACATAAAACATGTTGAGGGCCTCAAAATCACTGTATCCTTTGACAGGTGAGTTTTCAGTGAAAAGTTATTGGGTCAAAATTTTCTGTACAAAGGTACCCATTTTAGACTTGTGTATGAGAGTAAAAGTGGGTTAAATTAGTTTAAATTAGCTTAGTATGTCACAATGTAAAGTTGACCCTAAAATGAATATGATAAATTTATAATAACTTAGAAATGTTATTGTTTTATTTAAATGTAAAACATTTTAAAATTATATGTAACCACTTGTCATTACATATACGTATATATGCATGTATATAACATATCTATAAATGAAAATGACTGGAAAGAAATAAACCAACAGAAATTGTTCATTATCTTTAGTTTACTTATCTAAAACTAGCTGAAAATTTGTTCAAACCATTCTATATACATAGATAGATTCTATGTATTTGATTCTAGAAAATAATTCATAACATTTTATGGTTGGGTGATTTTCATCTGTGTCTTTTTTTAAAAAAGATTTATTTATTTATTTGAAAATCAGAGCTACAGAGAGAGAGGAGAGACAGAGAGAGGTCTTCCATCATCTGGTTCACCTCCCAATTGACTGCAATGGCCAGAGCTGCGCCAATCCAAAGGCAGGAGCCAGGAGCTTCTTCTGGGTCTCCCACGTGGGTAGAGGGGCTCAAGGGCTTGGGCTGTCTTCTACTTTCCCAGGCCATAGCAGAGAGCTGGATCAGAATGGAGCAGCTGGGACTCGAACCGGTGCGCATATGGGACTCCAGCACTGCAGGTGGCGGCTTTACCTGCTACGCCACAGCGCCAGCCCCTCATCTGTATCTTGCCATCAGTGGCTATGTTTATATTTTTCTAATGAAATAAATAGAAGTTATTTTGTGGTTAAAAAAAAGGCAATCTCTGGAGAAGGTTAGGCATCAGAAATTTTGTTCAGTCTCACATTTGGAGAACGCGGTCTGGGACAGACTGACCCTTTATGAGTCTACTTTACTCTCTCTTTGCCTTGTTGACCTTCGCATTTCTCATTTCAATTTCTTCCTTGTCTGGCCTCAGGTCTTTCCTAACTCAGTTTCACGTTTTTTTACATTTAAATGAAGTAAACCATTTAGTGCAGAATGTCTTCCTTTAAAATATCAATTAGCTCTGTGACAAGTTATTGATAGTTTTTATTTCATTTATTGAAATGATATTCACTGAGCATATACTGTATGCCAAGCACCACTGCAACTACTGACGACGGAGCAAAGGACAAGACAGAGGAGGGCCCCACCTCTGTAAACTCCAGTTCTAGAGGGCAAACCATTCACCAACAGGTGCACAAAGGAATGTAGAAGGCAAGTCATGGGAGTGCCTAATGGAAGAAGCAAGCTGATAAAAAGGATGGAAAATGTGGGATTGGGCTGCTGCTTTAGATAAGTATGCTCATGGAAGCCCTCTTTACAAAGCAGAGCAAAATTCAGGCAGAGACTGAGTGAAGTCGGGGGGCATACCTTGAGTTGTACTATTGAGAACATTCCAGAAAGAGAGAGAACAACACATTACACACATCCCCGGGTAGGAGCAGGATTGATATGAACCAGAAAGGGCACCAAGGCCAGTGTGGACAGGGGGCACACAATGGACAGGGGGCACACAGGCTTATGAGAAATAGGAAAGTCTTGCAGAATTCTGGGTTCTTCCCTAGGATGATCGTGACGATGTTGGCCAGTGTTTCTTGTGCATCTGCTATTTGCCTGGCACAGTGCTGTGTTCATTAAATGCCATACATGTAAATTGAGATCACAAGACCTGATGAGTTGCCCATGACCACATACCTAATAAATGGTGGGGCTGAAACGTATTCCCAAGATGTTTAGATGCAGAGTTCATATTCTTTACCCTACAATTTCTACAGCATCTCACCATGAATCAACAGTGTGATCTTTAAGAGACCAGGAAGATGTGGTTTGGGAAGAAAGTACAACAGGCTTATGTTTGAGACTATGGTTGACCTTATTGTTGTATTTACGGGATTACTAAATTAAAATCAAAACCTGGCTGCTTCGTAGAGTAGTCCGAGTGAAAAACATACTTATCCCTGACTAAGTGAAAAGATACACTTAGAGTCACTGAAATACATTTTTTTTCCTTTTCAAGGATGCAAGTTTAACCCTATGAAAATGCTGCTCAAATCCCCAGTGTGGTAGCTGTATGAAGTTCTGTTTCTTCAAGTTAATGAAATCTTAATGTATCAGAATTTCTCAAATGTGCAGAGGCCATTTTTACTAGAATCCAGGTTGGGACTCAAAATTACCTAGGCAGTCCTTGAAATACCATTTTAGTACAAGTGAAGAAAGTGCATAATACTGAAATCTGGGCTATGAACCAGTTAAATTGTTCCTATAAACTTGTCTGGAATCAGTTTATTCACAGTTAGATACCAAATCACTTAGATCTTAAAATGGAAGAATCAGATAAAAACGTGAAATCTTTCTAGGTTATTTTCTTGGAGATTAATATGATGTTAATTTTGTCTTGTCCCATGTTTTGAACACCCATAAAAACTCAAAGTTGAGCAAATATATGCCATTTTTGGTAACCTTGAAATAAATATTATGTCATTGAAATAGTCACAAAATTTGGAAGTTTGAGACTTAGTGGGGTAAATATTTTAATAGTTCTCATGATAAAGCTGCTTTCTTCTTATTTGGGAAGATGAGCTGAGTGTAGCCTGTCCTGATTTGGAAATATGTGGAAAGAATTATGGCAGAAGGAAACTGGTCTCTTAACCAGGCAATATGATGATTCATTTAACCAACATGATTTCTCCCATAAAGTTTCTTCTTTAAGTATCAGGTTAAGGTTCTTATTAGAAAATATGCATTTCCATACTTCTTCATTTGTGCCATTAGTTGACTTGATAAATGGCTACCAACCCAACCATCAGTGCCCTGCAAACAATAGTAACAGTGCAGTTCACCCCCGGCCCTAATAATATTTAATCATAGTGTAGGAGAAGCTGTGGCCTCATCAAGGCAAAACCCAGATCATAGAACGGTTTCTGGTTTCCCAGGGGTTCCACTTAGATCTTCACTCACCTTTGCTTTGTGCCGGCTTCTTTCTCAAGCTGCCCTTCTCCATGATGCTCCTAGAAGCCTAAGCTTACGTGATGAGTCCAGCAGTACCTACCAGGAATGAAACCCAACAGACCTCTTGGTCGTGTCCAGCGTAAGACCTGAGGGTGACTCGGGTCCCTCTGAGTGCACTGGCTGGCCCTGGGTCGTGGGGTCTGGGGAGTCCCTCCAGGACCGCATGGACTAAGTGGAGGGGGAGTGATTTGCCAGAGAAAAATCTGGAAGAGTAGGAAACTAGGGACTTTTGAAAAGCAAAAGCAAACATGCAATTTTATATACGTAAAACTGAAAATCTAGTTTCTTAAACACATTTCCTGTTCCTTGCTGTATTCCAAGTATAATACTCATCTGTCACAGACAGCTTAACCTCTTCTTGATATGGAATCATCTCAGCCTACCATCCTACATACCATGTTTAATTTATGGAAGGACACAATTTCCTGTTTTAATACCTCCAGACTTGAAGCTTACCTTATAAGCAGTAATGTGTTACACTTTGATTGGCAGTGTTTATATTTCTTAGAAACACTTAAAAAGAAACTGATGACCTCCTGGGTAAACCTCTTTTAAAATGGTATTTTTCCATCCTACCTTCTCTGGCTTTTACTTAAACACAAGGTAAACTTTTTAATCATTTAGATATGCCCTGAAGAGTGTGCCTTTGTATTCTGGTCCCTTTTTAGTAATAACCATTGAGTAATGTATGTCCCAACCTGTGCTTAGCACCAATCATCAATCAGTATTTTCTAAATGAATGAGTGAATGAATGAATTGTGGGTGAAAATTTTTGCAAAATATATACGTGGATAAATATATATTTGTTACATTTATAATGCACCTATACATTTCTACCTATCTATGGTATAGATAATAAGCACATGTCGTAATGATCCAAAATACTATATTTACCTAATATAGAAGTGTGCTTCTTTGCACCAGTTGGTAGAAATCTCAATGGCTGTGTTTCATTGGTCATTTTGTACCCAGTCTGTTGTTCTGGATCTGTCCTGTCGTATACAAACTCCTATTTCTGGTCCAAAGGGCCACTCCAAATGTTTCCATGTCCCGACCAAAGGAATGTATAAAAACTGTCTCCAGGGAAAGCTGCCAGAAGTGGCACAAATCAGTTGCTTCACATACCTTAGGTTTGAGCCTCATTCACAGGAGGCACATGGCTGTATGTGCAGTGCAAAGCCCTAGATTTAGTCACCTGCTAAGCTAAAAGTCAAGACTTTCCACTATTTAAAGGAAGAAAGAGGAAGTGTTTGGTGGAATATCAGCGTCAGCTACAAGACTTTGTTTACTTTTGATAGAACTTTTTCTATTCTTTATAAATATGTAAAAATGCCTAGAAAAATTTAATTTATGAGACAATGAATATAAATGAAAATATTTTATTACATATTTGAACATTAGAAAAACATCAATTTTGTTCCGATAATATATACTAGTTAGTTAATACCATTTTGAGTGATGACATAATATGATAAAAACCATTTCCCTCCATTTCAACATTTGAAATTTATTCTTGCTATATGACCAACACTGAGTCAGACTGTTATCTCAGTTATTGTATTGTTATGTGTAGTCTCTAGATGCTCCAATGAAAAGGTGTGATTTTTATAGTGTGTGGCATTTCTGTTTTTGTGTGAGCTTTTTAAGATTCAGTGTAAACGAATCATCAAGTGTGTATGGTTTTCTCTCCTGTGAAAGGTTCTTCGGGTGGTTCGACTCATTAAGATTTCACCTGCATTAGAAGACTTCGTATACAAGATATTCGGTCCAGGAAAAAAGCTTGGGAGTCTGGTTGTGTTTACTGCCAGTCTCCTGATTGTGATGTCAGCAATTAGTTTGCAGATGTTCTGCTTTGTGGAAGAGCTGGACAGATTCACAACTTTCCCAAGGGTAAGAGTAAAAAGTGCACTCGTTTCTTTATTATTCTTACTTTGGTAATAATAATTAACATCAACATAACTTCTTTTTGTTAACTTTTATTTAGTAAATATAAATTTCCAAAGTACAGTTTATGGATTACATTGGCTCCCCCCCGCCATAACTTCCCTCCCACTCGCACCCCTCCCATCTCCCTCTCCCTCCCCCTCCCATTCCATTCACATCAAGACTCATTTTCAATTATCTTTATATGCAGAAGATCGATTTAGTATACATTAAGTAAAGATTTCAACAGTCTGCACCCACACAGAACATAAAGTGTAAAATACTGTTTGAGTACTAGTTCTAGCATTAATTCACATTGGACAACACGTTAAGGACAGATCCCACATGAGGAGTAAGTACACAGTGACTCCTGTTGTTGACTTAACAATTTGGCACTCTTGTTTATGGCATCAGGAATCTCCCTAGGCTCTAGTCAGGAGTTGCCAAGGCTATGGAAGCCTTTTGAGTTCACCGATTTCGATCTTATTCCGACAGGGTCATAGTCAAAGTGGAAGTTCTCTCCTCCCTTGAGAGAAAGGTACCTCCTTCTTTGATGGCCCGTTCTTTCCACTGGGATCTCACTCGCAGAGACCTTTCATTTAGGGTTGTTTGTTTTTGCCAGAGTGTCTTGGCTTTCCATGTCTAAAATACTCTCATGGGCTCTTCAGCCAGATCCGAATCAACATAACTTCACCTGAGCAGTGTTTCAAACTATGGTCATATTTTTGATACCTTGATATAAATTTCAGTATTTAAAGTTGTCTTATTTGGGGTGCAGATGTTTGACTACATTTTCAGCACTGAAATTCAGATTATTCATCAATTCTAAAATTCTGGAATTAAACTAGTAGAATTAGGTACTGAAACCAATAAAAATGGGAGGTAAGATTGTTAGCACCTATCGGTTAAAATAGGGAAGAAGTTTAAAGTTTCTGTTTTGTCTTTGTCTGAGTTAGTATTAAATCTGTTTCACAGTTCATGCATTTTTATGTCAGGCATAATCTAGAAGAAAACTTTTAATTTCCAATATGATAAAAATTCATAGACTCTTCAGCTTTAACATGTCATTAGAGTATCTGTAAGCCTTCTACAGTCTCATCAGAATTCACTTGGGCTAATAATCAATCAATGTATAAGTGGTACACATGTAAAAGAAACAGCCCCCAACCAGACGATCCAGAAATTTAACTCCAAGTGAACTTAGAAATGTAAGCAACTATAATGACCAAGAAAAATACTGTATATGTTTATGTTTTCACCAAAAGTTTAAATATTATACGGAAAGAAAAATTCGGGGTAAAAACAACATACAACACTTTTTTTTTAAGTTAAGCTTTGAGAGCAAGTAAGTCTGTACTCCTACTGGAAAGACTAATATAACTGTGATTATTTTTTAAAGTATTTACTAGATTTGTTACTTTAGCTTCCTATGTGGAAATTCCTCCTTTTTATAATGCAGATTTTTCTACAGTGCTTCCCTAAGCATTTGTTGGGTTTAGCCGACCTAGAGCAGGCAGTTCTGGTGAGCCTGGAGACACAAACACAGTAGAGTGCGCCTCCAGAAATCCTCAGCTGAGACACATGAGGCTCTGCAACCTGTAACGAGGGTAGGCGCCAGGCTCCCTGGGAACCCAGAGGCGGAGCCATGACCAGGAACGGAGAAGTCCAGGAAAGGTTGTTGGAACAGGCAGTTACGGAAGAACAGTTGGTACAAACAACTGAAGTGTAAGAGAGCAGTGTTCCAGGCTGAGGGCAGCAAGGCTGACAGTCTCAGGTGAGCCATTTCTTGTTCTGGAACTAAAAGAACGATCAAGGGTAAGAGGAGGAGAGGAGGCCAAGGACCTCTGAAGTTGCGTGCAGGTGTGATGGTGCTGCAGTGTTGATGAGAGAGAGCAAGCAGAGGGGGGGGTTAAAGACCTATGAGGTCAAGGAACTCTGCCCTAAGATTCTGAGGAGATGGGAGAAGGCAGTGTCCAGCACTGGGACAATGACTGGCCTCAGGTGCTGAACTGCCAGATGTGGGAGTGGGTAAGACAAGCCAAACTGAAAGTCATGACCGAACTCTGCTCACTTTCTGTGACCTTGAGTGCGAGAGGCAATTCTAGATCTGGCTCCCCAGTGCTGTGTTTCCCACTGAGTGTCAGCAGACGAGCGAATATTGGAGTGGGTGGGGGGATTATTTCCTTGCTGGGCACTCCTGCATTGAGGCACTTGCACTTGTGTGGCTGTGAAGAGCCAAGGAAGAAAAGTGTAGGGGCCAGGAGCGGCAAAGTGCTGAGGCAGAGTAGGGAGGAGTTGCCCCAGCTGCGTCCTGCCATGCAAGGGGCCCTTCCAGTGGAAGCACCTGGCTGGGCAAGCATAGAAGCAGGGCTGGCAGGGGTCTGAGTCTGTGATTACGGCTGACTGCCAGGACACTGCGAGGCCCTGGCCTGCACCAAGGCTGGCATGAGGAGTGCTGTTTCCTTATCCCAGGGGAGTCCCCTGGACACTGGCCAGGCCAAGCTTTAAGATTGCCTATGGTTGGTTCTAAAGGCTCACTCACAGGGTGGTGTTGCCCTTGAGCTGTCTCAACAGGGTGGGGTGGTCAGCTCGCTCTCCAGGGCAGGAGAGTTGCAAGCAATTAAGCCCCCCTTCTCCTAGCCTGCCCCCACTGGGCAAATAAAAAAAAACAGCAATAGCCATCTCGCACACACTAAGACTGTCGTTACCAAGGTCCATCTTTTAGTCCAGTTGAATTCGGCACACATTCATGAAGGCCCAAGAGTCAGCAACTGTTCTAGGCACCAGGAAGCTAAATGAGGAACAACAAAACCTCAGTTTCCTTCTTCATGTACAGTCTTATCTTGATATAAATCCTCGTCTTTTCCCATGTCTTCCCTTTTCATCTCACTGGTCTATGTCTCTTACCCAAAACCTCTTTGAGCCAGTTGGCTTTCAGGGTTCAGAATGTTCTAGATATTAAAACGGTATAATACCCCAGCCCAGCACTGTTTGAAATCGTATTATGTAATCAACAGATTAATGTTCAGTAGCAAAACCTCACCCTTTAGTCAAGGAGGAATAAATAAATTTTCAGATCAGATTAGATTTTGTAGTTCAATAAACTACCAAAGTAAAAAAAAATCCTTTGAGAATTTTCAGAATGTTTTTAATTTCAGAGTTGTGAACAAAGGGCCTGAATGACAACCACTGCTGCTATGAGTGCACACTCGTGTCATACGAGGCTTGATCTGCATCACTGCTTCACCACCTTCTTAGCTGTGTCAACCTGTACAAATTATTCTTAAAGCTTCCATTTTTCTCAGCCTCCAAAATAGAGGTTAAAAATGGTATTTTTCTCCTGCATTGTGCATCTTGAATAATACCCAAAACAATACAACTGGCCCTAGGAAGCATTTTTTTAAAAGGCTGGATTACACCCTATTTAATACATTTGGGAGTTGGTGGTAGTATCAGCCACATAAAAGACAAGGCTGCTTTGTAGCTTAGCCCTGACTTCGTCCCTCTAGATTTGCTCTCATTTCCAGCCATAATAGTAATCAAGTAGCATTACATTTTCTGATCTCCAATTACTCAATTTTGCCTTTCTGCCTGATTACTCTGACCATCCTAACAAAAGCAGCCGAGTGCTGACAAGGCCCCTAATCAGTGATTCAGCAGCTGACAAGGTTGACAAGCCAACCATGTGAAGTAGCTGGATGGCGTAGACTTTTCTTTGCATATGGACGTAATTAAAGTTCAATCTCTGAAAAAAAAAAAAAAAGAAATTTTGCAAGAAATGTTCAGTATGACATTGACAAAAAAGTCGTTACCATCCCTAATCAAATCAAGTGCCAGCGACTGGTAGTGGTTTCCTGATGCTGGATTTCTGCTCAGGCCCCCATCCGAGGGTCTCCCTTCCCTCACTTGAGCACAATTCCATTTTTATCTTGTGGTTGAGTTCTCAGTGTCAATTGGCTAATTATAGTCTTAGTCAAAGCACAGCACATGAGGAGAACACATTTTCTATAAGAGAAAAACATATATCCCCAGTGAAATGAAAACTTGTTGATATTATCTTGATTTGAGTCTGGTCATCCCAGAGGCTGGCTACCAGCAACTTGTATAGGGCTGTGGAATGATGCAGGAAAAGAAAATGCAGAAATGTTTGTGAGACTTGGGGAGAGCACTCACCCTGCAGACAGGAGGACTCGGGCAGGGGCAGAAAGAGCCTGGAGTGGAAGGCGGGCTCCGTGTTGCTGCTGGGGAGGTGAATTTCCTATGGCAGTTTCTCCAGTGGGATCTTGACTCAGCCATTAGGGGATGCAGGCTGTCTATGAAACTGGAACTAGACATACAATTAAAACAGGTTTGATTAGGAGCTTGGACTCCAGCAACCTACTTTGAAACTCTGGGAGGACTTAACAGACATGTGAGGGTGATTTCCCCATCCGAGACTCCGGGAGACTCCAGAGAAGCAAACAGAGCAGCCGCCCAGGCATACAAAGTGACCCTCTAAGGGACTCACACGTGGAAGACCCAGGTACCCCTGCAATACCAATAGGTAGAAGAATCTTCACGGGAAATGAGGCCGTGAAATTAACCCTATTAGAAGGGAATCTGAAAATCCTATCAGAATTTCACCCAAGTGTTTATACGCCAATACTGTCTAAAGGACCATCAATTTCCCATTTAGTTCATTTCTTTAATATTTTTCATCTCCCTTCTTGTTTTAATGGGAAAACGTGTAGATTTTAGAATCACACTTAAGCACTGTTGACTAAGTAGTCATGGGTGATATTGAATTTGAGCTTCACTTGTTTTTAAAATGGTAATATTTGCCTAATATGATAACTGATAGCACCTGTTAGAGATGGTGAACCAGAGGCTTAGAGGCCTTGAAGGCAGCATCTACGGCTCCTTCCAGCTGTTACCAGGACAGTCATGTGGGCCCTGGCAGACACACTGCAAAGTGGTTGGCTACTCAG